CTCTGAGAAAACAAACCATCAAGTGACATCACTAGACCAGCCCTCGAGTGGAATCAGAACGGGAAGCAGCGAGGTGGTCATTAGTGTGAAGGTGACATAGAGGAGGTCATGTGAAGAGGAGATGGAATCATGTGGGCACACATGGAGCCAGGTGAAAACTTTGGCGGAGAACCGAACACAATGGAGACGTGTAACTGAAGGCCTATGTTCCTCTAGGAATTAAAGGAAACAATAATAATAATTTGCTGTTGGATTGTAGTGTTTGAAGCATCATCCTGTCATACTTGTAAACTGCGTATCGGAGGTCAATTATTCGTCTCTTTTTCTCAAGCGAGTTTCAGCAATATATACTTTGATGGGATTTTTTATTGCTTTATGGTGGATAGTTGTAAATTTAACAACGTGCATCTGTTCCTCCCTCTTCAACTTACCAGTTGGCTTTATCTCTATCCTGTTATCTGATTGGTTACTTTTTCATTAAACCACAAACACCACATCTCAGTTTAAACATCAAAAGTACTATTTCTTTTAAACTACCGACTTTTTTATGCAGTAAGTAGCCTATTTCATTTCTTACCCAATCGAGCGGAACATACACCTTCAAACTTTGAAGTTCCAGTAACAAGTCGGCGTCGTTAGCCTCACACCCACCCAAGCTTCTCTCTCTTTCCCAGGCTTACTGATGGCTAGTGAACTAGGCGAGATTTAAGAATAACTCGACCGGAAATCGATTCACAAACTCAAACGTGGTTGATAGTCATTCAACTATTGGACAACCGACGCAAATGCGGTAGTTTTTTAGTTATAATTTGTTGTTGATTGTCCGTTATTCTTTGTTTGTTTTACAAGAAAGAATCAGCTAACAGAAGGCTAAGCTAGGTGACTCATAAGGTGATGCATTGAAGTCAAAATCTATAATCTTCAAGTCCGGGAGTTAATTAAATTTTAACTACTTTTATATTTTCTCTTTATTAATCCGCTTTAAAGGAACAAAATGGTACCAGTAGCTCAAGGAAGCTGATAACTGTATCACACTTAGTACTAAGAAGTCCAGTAGATTGAAAGAGAAACACACAAATTTTGAGCTACCTTTTTGAGGCACCAGTGAACATAATGCGAGGAGAGTGTTACTAGATGTTAACTGTCAGAGTTCAGCTGGCATAAAGTTCTTAACATCCAGAAACACTAGGAAAACATGAGTAAGTTCCTCCCCAACCTACGAAAGTGATGTTGTACTTCAGTCGTGACAACTTTCTCAGTAAAATAAAATTTTATCTGTAGACATTTATAAACATTAAATTAATCTACAGATTTCCCTAGATTATAGATTCTTAGTGTCCATTATTATTATTATAATTGTTTCCTTTAGTTCCTAGAGAAACATAATGCTTCAGCTGCACACCTCCATCGCGTTCGGTTCTCCGCCAACGTTTTCACCTGACTCCACGTCTGCCTATATGCTTTCATCTCCTATTCGCTCGACCTCCTCCATTTCAAACTCGCGCTAACGACCAATTGACTCACTGCTTCCCATTTGGGTTTCACTTGAGCGATGATCTGGTGTGTAATGTCGCTTACTTGATGATTTCTTTCCTCAGAGTATGGCCTCCAATCCACCTACCTCCACTCCTTCCTGCACATTTGTTGCACAATTGCTTCCTGCTGGGTTCGTTCGTTCATTGCCAGAGATACATCCCTGCTACTGATCTTTTCTAGTTGGCCTTCTGATCTTGAGCGACGTACTGAGAGAAGACAGCTGTTGATAAAGGTGTGTAGTCTGTTTGAAGTGCGCTTCGTGACTCGGCGCGGCGCCAAATCTCAGATCCGTATAGTGATTAGCACTGACTTCACATTGGAGCTGAAGATGTGGATCTTATTTTTCATGCTGAGTAGTGCTGTTGATCTCAACACAGACTTGAGAGAAATGAAAGCTTGTCTTGCTTTCCCGACCCTCGCTGCTTTTATATCCTTGTCAGTTCCGCCTGTAGTTGAAACGATGCTCGCCAGATAAGTAGCATATATCGTATACTAAGTGATCCACAGCGGAAACATCAGCAAAGCCTTTGAGGTGAATACAGGAGTTAGACAAGACTGCATACTATCACCGACAGTATTCCTGATTATTGAAGAATAGATCGCGAAACACACTGTGGGGGTGGGGCGATATGACGAGCATAAGTTTGATCGACAAGAAGACACCAGAAGATTTTAACTTTATGCACGATTTATGTCATTTATCTCAAAAAGTTGAAGGTCTACACTCGAAAATCAACCAGTAGGCAGAAGAGGCAATCAGCGAAGACAGAACTTCAAGTGAACATAGAGAAGACGAAGATGATGAAGATAACCAACTTACCAACAACAACAACAACATGCATCAGTCACAATCAATGAAAAAAATTTGAAAAAGGTAACTTCCTTCACATTTCTAGGAGGCGTCGTTTAAACCGGAAATGGGTTTGATGGGAATGTCAAAGCCAGTCGGCAGCGGAAAGTCAAGGGAGACACTGATCACTCTGACAACAGTGTGTGAATCTCCTGCAATCAACATAAAGAACAAGATTCAGATTTTCAACACCAATGTTATCTCAGTTCTTCTATCCAGTTCAGAAATTTGGTGCATCACCTAAAGCCCTTCGGACCGGCTGAAGGCGGGGGATAAGCAAAAAGGTGCTCTGGTAGCGAACCAACCAACAATCTGTTGCTAAACATATATGTGGAATATAATGGAGATGGATTTGAGAAACGACGAGGTGACTATTGAGTGACTTCACGCATCAGGTCATCGTCCCAGTTGAACTTGAATGGGAGACGACGAGTTAGGTGTCCAAAGATGACTTGATGGAGATCGTGTGAAAAGGGAATCTAAGCTTATGCGTAATTTCAGAGCCAGAGTGAGAGCTGGATAAATAAGTGGTTGTATTCCTACTTTTCTGATAGGAAGCAGTACACTGTCTACAATGGAAAGTCCTCCACTACCTCACTTATTTTAGCTGGTGTTCCTCAAGGTGCTATTCTTTCTCCTTTTCTGTTTCCTTTTTTCTTACGTGACTTGCCCCATTCTGATGTAGCCACTTTTGTCAAGTATGCTGATGACCTCTCTGTCTCCATGCCTGTCAACTCTCAGTCAGACTGTTCCAAATTAAATAACCTTCTGTCGGAAATTAGTCAGTGATCCTCTTCAAACGATCTTAAGCTGAATCCGTCTAAATGTCAGGTAGTAAATTTTACTTTCAGACGAAAAAGTGACCTACAACAGCTAGCTAGCTCACATGGTCCCACTATCATTGACGGCATAGAGGTTGAAACTACATCTAATGTCAAGTACCTTGGACTGAGTATTTCCTCCGATCTTTCCTGGTCCTCTCACATCTTGCTAGTTACTAGAAAGATGTTTCGCTTAACGTTCTACGTTAGGAAGTTTAGGCAATCTGGTATAAAGCAGTCTTTGCTTTCTCAGTTTGTCAATTCCTGTATTCTACCCATCCCTCTTTACTGCTCCCCATTAATCTTCCCTGGACTACTTAAGAAAGACTTTGCTTCGTTGCATAGGGCACTAAAAGCTGTTAGTAGGGCAAGTGGGATTTCGTTAAACCAACTGGTTAACACTATTGTGGATAGACATATAATGTCATGTAAGAAACTAGCGAATTCTATATTGTCAGACCCCGAACACCCTCTCCATACGCAGCTCTCTCCTTGCATTCCATCTGGTAGAACTAGAAGCAACTATAGGAAGCTATATGCCAGGACTACCAAGTATAAAAACTCCACAATACCTTATCTGGCACAGCTGTTATGTGATGAGAAAACTGTTAGGCATGACACGATCAACTTACTGCGGCACTCTAACAAATAGTTCCCATTAGCTTTTGTTCTGCTTTCTTTGTTACTATTATATTGTTGCACATATATTCTATTACAGACTAATTTTATATATCATATCCTGTGGTGCATTGTTTAAATATGTGAATGCAATGCTGTTATTTTTTTATTTCTTTTATTTCTCTTTTTCTTTTTGTTCTTGTTGCTTTATATTTTTAAATCCTTATAAAATTTATGAAGTAATTAGATGCAATATTGTAATGCACGCTGAAAATTCCATACCTGTACCACAAATACTGTTTGGAATAAAGCCATTATTATTATTAAAAAAAACTAAAGAACACCACAGAGAACAAGACAAAACGAAGATGTTCCACAAAAAACCCAAGAGAATAATCATATTATAATAACAATAGAAGCAATCGTTCACTAAGCCGGTAGATTCAGTGTATTCTAAAGGAATTCCTAAGTAAATTTATTCACATTAAAATAGATTGCATAGTGGGGACCCCGGAACGTATTTGGAAACTTTTATGAGTTGATCACGGATTGATATCAGTTAAAAAACCAGTGAAAACCAGCACTGGAGAACTGCCAAACGGCTGTTAAGTCAGCCTAGTTTGGGAATCATTAGCAGTACGCACTCGCCACAGGGGTTTCCACTACAAGACCTTCCGGTTACAAGGAAAGCTCGTATATAATTCAGTCATTGGGACCCGATTCACTGGCCAGCCCATGAATTCTAAATTCTACCAATTCGTGATTTAGCGCGACCATCAACCAATGTCATCGGTGGGACATCCGTCTTCACACGTGACTGAATGGAGCTCACTGGTCACGACTTCTCACGAGAACTCCAGGCATTGCCGCCCTGTAGCATCTCACTGCTGAGCATCAAATTAACTTTCAATAGTTGGTTCATAAAGATTAATTTTGTTTTCACGAGTTGATCACGAATTGATATCAGTCAGAGAACCATTGCAAACCATCATTGAAGTACTGGACAGCTGTTTCATCCTAGTTTGAGAATAATCGGCAGTACACACCCACTGGGTTTTTGGAAATACTTTCTTGAAACGCTTCGTACACACGCTTTATCGTGCAATCATTCAAAATTACTTAAAAATATAAACATATATAATCTAAAGCCTAGTAATAAGAACAATTTCACTTACTTCAGGTATTCTTTCATGAGCACTTTTTGATCTTCGTGAATTACGAAATTTTAAACGTGCAGCTATACCTCTAGATCTATTTGTACAGTTAGCTGTATTATTTGTCTGATCTAGAATTACACGTGGCGTTGTATTAAAAGGATTTCTTGTTTCACTATTGCTACGTACATTCAAATGATTCAATGGGAGAAATGATTGATCTGATATATTTCTAGTAATCGCCTAAGGAGAAGAAAAACAAAACAAAATTAATGAGAAAAAGTTTTAAAAAAGAGTGAACTGAGCAAGGATAACTTATATTTAAAATAAATTAGTTTACATGAGTTGGTTTGTAAGGATGCGATTTGTTTTTCGAGTTTCACCACGGGTCGGTATCAGTTAGACAGACATACTGAAAACCGCCATGGAGTGCTGGACAGCTAATTCGTCGGCCTAGCTTGGGACTCACCGGTAGTACACAGCTATCAAAGAGGGGTTCGAACCCAGCACCTTTCATTTACAAAACAAACTAGTATACCATTTAGCAACTGGGACTCAATTCAACGGCCAGCATATGAATTCTAACTTCTACTAATTCGTGATTTTAGCGCGGCGACCGATACCAATCAGTGGTCAAACTCGAAAATTAATCTGATTCTCGCTAGTGACTTGCTATGGGATGCGGTTTCCTGAAGTTCTAGTGAGAAGTCATGACAAGTCATCCAGTCGGGAGTGTGGATGAATTTCCCACCGAAGACACTGGTTGGTGGTCGCGCTAAAAATCACGAATTGGTAGAAGTTAGAATTCATATGCTGGCCATTGAATTAGGTCCCAGTGGCTGAATGGTCTACGAGCTTGCCTTGTAACTGTAAGGTCCTGAGTTCGAAACACTTGTGGTAGGTGCGTACTGGCGATCATTTGCAAACTAGGCTGACTAAACAGCTGTCTGGCAGTACTTCAGTGCTGGTTTGCGATCCTTCTCTAACTAATTTAATTTAATCTCATCATTATTCATCCCTTCCGTTCCTAGGAGAACATATGGCTTCAGCGCAACATTTTTATTCCCTCCCCCGTGATTCTCTTCTATCACTTTCAACTGGTTCTGCAACTATCCGGAAACTTTCAGTTCGTCCTGACTGCACGATTCCATCCATTTCGTCAACGGATACGCGCTGTATCTATCACTCCATATTTGCTTTTAACTCAAAGGTCTGCAGTGTGATGTCATTTAACATCTGCTCAGTGTATGATCCATTCATTTCTACTTGATTCAGCATTTTTGTTGTGTAACCACTGATTAGCTGCCACAGCTCCTCGTTGCAAAGGTTGCATATATTGATGAATATCTGCAGCAGGTTTAATTCAATTTTAGATTTTCCGGAGGATTGATTGGACCAAAGTACTCGATCTCAGGTTGACATGTCGGCTATTTGTGCATATGCTTCGACGATGTCTGGGCATTCAATAAGAATTTAATTGGTGGATGGTGACTAGCAGTGGAATCCAGGATAACGCGCACTTCGTCCTATTTGGGACTCGTTGATGACTGGATGTACCTGCATTCCATAGTCAATGAGTGGTAGTGTTCCCGCCGAGACTCGAACCCAGTACCCATAGTTTAAAACGCCAAATTGTTATGCACTAGACCACTTGGGCCACGAGGGTCACCTCTTGTGCAAAGGGTCTTATTAATTATTTAATTCAATTTTAGATTTTCCTGTTGCTTGATTGGACCAAAGTGCCCGGTCCCAAGTGCAGGTGCATCCAGATGACGCGTCCCAAATAGAACGAAATATGCGTTGTTGTGGATTCCACTGCTAGTCACCATCCACCAATCAACTTCCTGCAGCAAGTTGCTGTAAAGTCTTCAAATAACTCACTCGCCAAGTCTTTGAAGTATACAGAAATACCCACTTAACTGACACCGCTGATAAAATTAGGGAGAATTTGAGGGAAGTCGTTTGCCTCACATACCTCTGCAGCACGGTTACAATACAGATGACGACATCAAGGCCATTCAGGATGGAGGGAATAAGAAGGATATTTATTCCTCTGAAGGAACAAGATTCAAACTTTCAACACTATTCCCGGCTATGTTTGTATTTCGATTCGGTTCAGTAACTTTGCGAGTGCATCAGTAAAAGCAGTTCCAACAGTCTAATGAAGAACTGTCATCAAAACTTGACCTCTTTGTTGAATACTGGAAATCAGATGACTGACCAGAAAGGACAAGTAACAAGGAAGAGTGTCAAGCAATCACTTATTACCCATTAGTTATACAGAAGGAAGTTATGCAGATGGAATGCTTATTGGATGAGCAAACCTTCAAGCGATATCACACACCAGCCCTTCGAGTTGAATTGGAACAGACTCATAGACTTGGCGTGTGCATCATCTGTCAAGGTCTTCACTACTGTCGGCAGAAAAACAAACAACAGTTTCAGGGGCTTGTTCTATAAGTGTCTGTAAGTCTGGTCTGTCTGTAGAGATGGAAATGCTCCCCAATTTCAATCTGATACGATAATATCTTTTACTTTATTGACTGTTACTATTATTGTTATCATTGTTATTCTTGTCTCCTTTGAAACCTTTTTCTGTCTGATTTCACACAAACTAGAAGATATGCGGGTGAAAAGCAACAAGTTTACAGAAGAAGCATCCACAGAAGACAGGACTTCAGTTTTACATAGAGAAGACACAGGTGATGATGAAGATTCCTGACCAACAGCGACGGCAACAGCAACAAAAACAGACAACAATCAGTATAAATTTGTCTGTCTGTCCCTGTATAAATGGGAGAAATCTAAAAGAAGCAACCTCATTTACCTACCAACCGACCTAGGGAGCATCGTTTCATCTAAGGGCTGACGGAACTGACGAGTTTCACACTGTTATGCAGTGATATTTACTGATGACGTTTCGAGCACAACTTATTGTTCATAGTCATATCAAGGTACTCACACAACGTCATCAGTAAACATTACTGTATAACAGTGTGAGACTTTATCAAAACAAATTTTACACATAATGGAATTATACTCTACCATAGTGAACAAGCTTTATTCTTTTATCAAGGAAATGACGAGGATATCAAAGCAACGAGGACCGGGAAAGCAAGGCAAGCTTTCATTACTCTCAAGTCTGTGTGGAGATCAACAGCACTACTCAGCATAAAAAATAAGATCCGCATCCTCAACTACAATGTGAAGTCAGTGCTACTTACTTTATGGATCAGACACTTGGCGCCGTACCACGCCGCGTCACGAAAGCCACTTCGAACAAACTACAGACCTTCATCAACGGCGGTCTTCGCTAAATACGTCGCTCAAGATCGGATGGCCAACCAGAAGAGATCAGCAACAGTGAGGGATCCCTGACAATGGACGAACCAACCCATCAGGAACCAGTTGTATAACAAATAAGCAGGAAGAAATGGAGGTAGGTGGACATATTGAAGGTCAAAATAACAATAAAGACCACTAAACCAAATAACAGAGTTAATAGTACATCTACTGTGGCTGCCGGTGTCAAAACAAAGTTTACGAAGGAAGATTTAGTGTGATGACGAAGTCTTGCTTTGAACGCATAGAGGTGGTTTAAACTTTCTAATTGTCAGCAAGGGCTTCCACAAACTTTAGGATACATCCCAAACACGTTTCATAGATAGATAGGTTTAAAAGACTTGTAAACATCAATTTTATGTCCCGTCTCCTCTGTAATATATTTCGCAATAGAGGAGCTAGTTCTCCTGTTCTCATGAAAAGAAACATACTTTCAATGCTTTGTAGCTAAAGAAATGTTGTTTATCGAGCTTGAACACGGATTGGTATCATTCCGAGGAACACCGAAAACCGCCAGGGAGTGCTGGACAGCCGTTTCAGGAAACTGCTCCCCGTAGCAAGTCACTAGCGAGCATCACATTAATTTTCAAGAGTTGGTTTGTAAGGATTAGATTTGTTTTACGAGTTTGACCGCGTATCGGTATCAGTTGTCGCGCTAAAAAATCGAATCGGTAGAACCTAGAATTCATGTGCTGGCCACTAAACCGGGTCTCAGTGGTTGAATGGTCTACGACCTTGCCTCGTAACTGAAAGGTGTTGAGTTCAAAACCCTTGCGATAGGTGCGTACTGCCGATGGATACTAAACTGGGATGAAGCAGCTGTCCAGCACTCCCTGATGGTTTTCAGTATGGCTGTCTAATTGACACCAGCCCGTGACCGAACTCGAAAAACAAATCTAATCCTCACAAACCAACTGTTAAAATGTTATTCGAAAGAAATTAAGGCATGATCCGTGATGTGCGTATTTATTATGAAAACTTTTATCTTATTTTCATCTTTACCGTCTCTGTTTTTTATTGAAAGCATGAAAATATGAGGGGTTAGATGATTTTCTGAATAAACAAAATTCTTGTCTGTACATAAACCTACATGACAACAGTTGGTAAGCTAAATCATGCATCCGAATCAGTCATATGATGGAAGTCAATATCTCTGTCTAGTTCTAAATATCATTTGTTATAACAATAACTGGTATCAGTTAGAATACTATTGGAAACTGTTACGTATCAGACAGCTATTTCGTCACCAGCATGGTACGCACCTATTACCAAGGAGCCAACGATTGAACCCAGGACCTACTGCTACAAGATGAGACCACCCACCTGGATGGAATCTCATGAAGATTTCTATAAATTTTAACTTCTATCCTACATTTATCGATGAGAATATGTCGACCCTAGGTGTAATGTAGTCGTTAAATTATGGTATAAGAATCTGTTGAGAATTGTGGTTCACTTTAGAGAAATGTAAGATTCTATTTATTGTAATTCTCTTGGGTTCCGAGTGAAACATGTAGGGCTTCAACGAAGCATCTCCAACTTCTTCTATTTGGTGCTGTTCTCTTCAGCTGGCTAGCTCCATGATTGTCCATAATCTCTTATCTCCGCCTACCCGACACACGATATCCTCCATGTTACCCTCACATTGACGACTCGCTTGTCACTTCCCATTCGAGTTCCACTCAAGCAATGGCCTGCATTACGCGTGATGTCATTCCATGGCCTGGTCAGTGTATGCACAATCCATCTCCATTTTCTCCTGCATATTTGTTGGGCAATCGGGTCTTGCTTGGACTGTTCCAATGCAGAGTTTCTTGTTACTAATTCTTTTTGGTCATTTCATCTTCAGTATGTAGCCTCGAAGGTGGCAGATTCTGAAAAAGCCTCCTACCTGTTGGAAA